TGTTTCTCTTCTTCCAAAAGTATTTTTGAGCTTTGTCAATCCATCAAGTCATCACGTACAAAGAATAAGGTAAAAAAAAAAGGCCATACAGATCTTCAGTTTCTGTACTATAATCCAAGATGTTTAAAGTTTTTCTAAACTGATAACATCAAGTTAATCTATTACTAACCTTTGATATTACACGCATCAAATTGTATATCTTTTTACAAAGATTATACCCGCTCACAGCTCACTCCGTTTGTCTGTCTGGGTGGATTTTTTAAACTTGTTTCTCCAACTTCTCATTCTTGGATCAAGTTGAAATGTTGCACAATTATTCATTGTCGATGACAACGCATTAACCCATTAAAAAATTAACCAATTTGTTAAATAATTAGTGGCAATTAATTAATTTTGTTTTATATTGAAAATGGGAGATAAAACGAGGAATATTGAGGGAATCAGCTATTGAACGGTGATCTCCCTTCACTTAATTTGAAGTTTTATTTTGATGTCTTGCTTGTTTTTCTACAACAGATATCACGGACATTTATCTACGATTTTTTATTACTACATATTAACAATCATTTCTGTTTGTCGAGATTCACGCTTACAATATTCTCTCAATATCGTCTCAAGGAAACGCAATGGAGTGTGTTAAGCTTCATTTCAGCCATAGGGATATCTATATCACTTGTAAGTTTGTCTGTAACCATAGCAGTCTACGGCCTTATGTGGAGGTAAGGAATTTGTTAGCAGTTCTCAAATTGACACAAGTTAATTAATATATACCTAAGAAACATGTATAGATTTCCTCGATATTTGTGTTACTAGATATGTCAAGAGTGATCGTAGTGTCTTGAACATCCATCTCTGTGTGGTTTTGTTGATTGGTTATATTGTCTTCATCATAGGGATTAGCAAGACAGAGAACCCTGTAAGTAAAGTAGAACAGCTTAGTCTCCCTTTGTTTATAATATGTATATATATATATATATATATATATATATATATATATATATATATATATATATATATATATATATATATATATATGTCTCTGCTCTTGCTCTACATACATTAACTATTAACCTCATTGACTTTGGCTCTTGTTTCAGACCACATGTGCTCTCATAGCTGGATTATTACATTTTTCATTTCTGACCGTCTTCTTCGTCATGTTGGCTCAAGGGATATTGATCCTCAAAACAGTGACGTCTGTTTCTTCAACCTCTATAGTCAAATTTCTCTATCCCTTGATGTACGGTAAGTAACACGAGAATTGAAATTATAGCCATCTATTTGACCTATTTCTTCTTCGGTCTCATTTTATGTTGCAGGGTCCAGAGCTCAGATCAGTTATCCTATATCTGAGATGAACCGCACAGTAGTTTCCAGATCTTGCTATTCTCGGTAGAGTTTTTTCTTCTATAGAATGCTTATGGGGTCAGAGTCTTGTTCTGGCCTCTCAATAGAGAATGCAGCTTTGAAGGACATGGTCAGCATTCTCTGGTGTTGCTTCACAAGGGCAAGTTTCATTAGTCCCGACTTTAACCTTCTGGAAAATGTGTTGTCTCATTCGGGTGTGTCCGGTTCTGAGATAAAAAATTATCAGTTGGTCATGTCGGAGTAGCTTATCATCTTGTTTTGGATTTTTTTTCTAGTAATTTGGATGAGAATTGGTCCATTTCTCATTTATTCTATTTTCTATCATTTTCATTTTTTCTTGGTAGAGAGGAATTTTCATTTGTTTGTTCATTCTTCCATCTTTTGCAAGAAATCCAATTTCTACTTCATTGCCTTCTATTTCAATCTGTGCTGGAATCCTTTGAAGAGCAGTTCCCTTAGTGCTGTCTCTGAGGCTTACAAGAGCTGTCCAGAGTTGATTTATAAAGTAAGTATCAGAGTTTTTTAGGCTTTGGAGGACTTTGGCATGGTCAGTAAGACAATTTGAGTGCTTGTTGAACTTGGTGGTTTAGTAGTGTGGTAGCTTCTAGTTCAAGTGGTCACCTTTCTTCTCTGTGGCTGTCTGAGAGATCGCCATATGCATTTGACTTTTGTAGCCTTCCTGTATTAGGCGATTCGATTAGAATGTTAAAGCCCCCGTTTGTGTTGGATTTCGGACTGAGGGGCGCCCTAAATAAATCCTGAAATTCAAAATCCCAGTATTCATCTGGATTCGAAACCGAGACCATTCCATTTAGAAGACAATACCACATAGCCACCTTGCATTTAATTGGTTCAATAAGTATGCTTATACTTGGTACCAATAGTAAACTTTTAAAAATGTTCAATGAGTGAATACAGAACATAACAGTTATTAAGGCCTATATTTAAGGAGTTGTTAATAAATAATATTTTGTGTGTTACACTTTCTCAGGACATTGTGCTTAGTCACAACATTGTCTATTTCTTAGCCACCACCTTGAAACCTTGATATATGCCATCTAGATTTATGTTCTATATTGTGCATTACTTGACTTAACGTTATCTTTTTGTAATGTTTAATTCTCATATGAATGTGTCTTTGTTAAAATAAGTATTATAAAATTAGAAGTTAGCTTTGTTAAAAGGGGCGGTCGTTTAGCCAAATTGGATTGAACTGATCGAAATTGCTCTGTGACATGTACTGAACTAAAAATTCGAACTTTTTTTGTCCATTCGTTGTCGGAATAGACAATTACTACGCAACCGACAATTGAAAAAAAATATACTTTTTGTATATTCAATTTTCTATTCAAAGTACTATATACTTGAGTTAATTAAGATGGGTTTTCTTGAAATAAATGTAGTAATTGGCATTGAACACAGCTACAAGACACCTTTTTTATGACGATTGAAAAAACAAGTGCTTGCTGAAGAATTAAACACAATTAATGTCGTAATTGCAAAGAACAAACCACTCTCAGAGATTAACTCTACATTTTCAAAAAGAGTTTTATTTTCCTTTATATTTGTTTGATGTGATATACGTAATACAAGATATATAGTTTTACCACGCCATGTTATATAAATAATTATTTAAGGATGCTCTTTAGTTGGAGACATCTAAAACATGTTGGTGATATTTTTAGGTGGACCGTCTATTGTTGTGGTTGTATCTGTGGCTGTTACACAAGGAGCTGGATATGGCACACACAAGATGTAAGAGATTGATCTAGTATGTAATTTACTTTGAGAATTACATGAGGCGGTAGAATGAAAAATGCTTGAAGACTTTGAGAAGAAAAAAATTCACTGAGCCAAACAGCAGTGATGTCTAGCCTGACACCTACGGGTCATATTCGTTCATGTGTTGAGGTCCGGATCTTTTAAACTTCTTCCTACAGGGCCAAATTACATTGACATTGGACTAGACACATGGACTACTGAGTGAGTTAATATAAGCTTTGTAAAAACAACTGGTCAGTTCCTACCGAATTAGAAGTATCAAATGATACATGATTTAAGTTGTTGATCTAATCACTAACCTTAAAGTGAGTTGTTACTTTCATTATCAGACAAGACAGAGCTCAATCTAGAAACACTTTTGTTTAAGTCTAAGTTTAGTGACATCGGCATGATCAACACTACAGTGGGTTCTAAACAAAATGTTTACATAGGTATTTCTCTTTTTCTCATGTTATGTTCGAATATTGTTATCAAAAGACACACAAAGGCAACGAACTAAAACAGAAGGAAACGTTTCCAAAGTGTGAGAGATCTTGAGAACGTAAGAACTTGACCAAACTTGGGTCTCAAGGACACATGCAGGCCGTGTTTCAGGAGTCTCAATACACAGCCTACGTAACTAGAGGTTTACAAATGGTCGATTGGTTGTGGCAATGAGTAGAGACACATTTCGTTTCAGATGCTGGTTTGATCCTAAGAGTGATCTCCTGTGGGCATTTGTTGGGCCAGCTTTTTCGGTTGTTTTGGTAAGTGGCTTATTTAGTTTATTTGAGTAAGTGGCATATGCAAGGGATTTACATCGACAATAAGCAATGCGTGTTGTTACTGAGCAATGCGTGTTGTTACTGATTATCTGTTATGTTAGTTGCCCTTGCACCTTCTGTCTATTGATTTTTAATGTGTATTTAGTAGGCTATAAGGTTTCTTATATTTTATTCTACTTTAGTGTTTAATATAGTTTTGTAAGATAAACAGAAAATGGTGAAAGAGATGTTTACATAAAGATGGGACTACAAACAATATTTCTAGGGCACCATACAGGGCACAAGGCACCATACAGACCTACTGTGGTAAAGTTCTTGGTTCCCTTTTCTAAAGCTGGTTGAAATAATGTAGATTGGGTCTAGAGAAAAGTAAACGAGAGACTTCCTGTAAAGTCCCTTAACCCACATTTGTTCTGTTCCATAGACATGTTTTGTTCATTTCTGACTCGCCATTTCTTGTTGACATTTTGTTCTGAAATAATTTATTTCTTGCATTATCGTCCTATTTGTTTGTCACTTTTTAAAATTTCATATTTTTACGTAAGTACATTGAACACTCTTAAATTGAAGTCCTTAAAGCTCACACAAATGTAATGAAGACGATTAGTGTTTCCAAAACGTTGTCACTTTGTTCTTGCAAGAAAGCAGTGAAGTTCTAGATATCTTTGGTTCTGTCTAAAAAAATAAATTCATAAAATTATCATCAAAGATGGATTTCTATTTGTGACATTTGAAATATAGATCTACTTAGCATGCAGCTTACCTGATCTATCAACTAATGAGGAGGGGTAAATAGGGGAAACTTAGGAACAATCAGATATATATTATGATCCTAGTGTACATAGGCCTATAGGCCAGCATTTCATATTCATCAGGAATTTAAACATAACTTTTGAATGATGTTTGAGTTTTGTTATAAAAAGAAAATTGGTGATGTCTATTTAACATTTCATATGCTACACATTACAACACCAATAAATGTAACCCAACTTTCTTTACTCAATGGCTATGTAACAACTTTTAGGTCAATGTAGTTATATTAATTGCTGTGTTACGTATCATGCAAACATCCCACGCTTTGATGGACAAGGATGTGAAAAAGAAAACAAAGTAAGTTTAAGTAAGATGGCTGCTGTTCAGAACTAGTGCAATAGAGAGAGATAAAATAGATCTAAGACCTAGAGTTTAATTATATCAAACATCTAACAGTTTTTTTATGCAGCTTAGTTCATTATTGGTTACAACTGTACGAATAAAGAATGAGTTTTCATCTCAACTAGATCACTCTTGAGATCTGTATGTGTTCTGACTCCGATTCTTGGCCTGACCTGGACGTTTGGAGTCCTATCTATCAGTATTGACAATATTGTATTCCAGTATTTATTTGCTGTCAGTAATTCTCTGCAAGTAAGATCTTTTTTTTTTGGCCATTCTTTTTTTTTTTTTTTTTTTGTCAATTTTTTTTCTTGTCCATTCTTTTTTTTTCTGTTTTCTTAATTCCAGCATTCTATGTAACAATGTGTCATCATTTAGAACTTTAATTTTGTATATACTGGTAGACAATATATTTTTAAGTTAAGAAAGCTTTCTTAAAACAAACAGTTATGTACTTTATATACTTGTTTTTTTAAACTATGGATTGTTGATATGTAAGTGAAGTATTTGAACCTATTCAACATGAGCTAGCACATAATGAGATGTTATGTCTTAGAACAATGTGGTAGTTGGGGTTTCGACTAATCTTTCTTTTGTTTTCTGTTATTTTTTAGGGTGTGCTTATCTTCATATTTCAATGTTTACTTCAGTACCAAGTAAGTTTACAAATTCATGAATCATGGATCATATTCAGTACCAAGTAAGAATCAACTCACTTTACAAATCCATGAACCCTAGATCATATTCAGTACCAAGTAAGAATCAAATCACTTTACAAATCCATGAACCCTAGATTATATTCAGTACCAAGTAAGAATCAACTCACTTTACAAATCTGTGAATCCTATATCATATTTAGTACCAAGTAAGAATCTTTCAACTCACTTTACAAATCCATGAATCCTAGATCATATTTATTATCAAGTAAGAATCAACTCACTTTACAAATCCGTGAAGCCTACATCATATTCAGGACCAAACACATTTACAATAACTGAAGTAGCAAAGCTTAAAGCGTACCTAATTCAAACTTCGACGGGTGAAGTGACTCCAGTCCAGAGTGCCTTCTATAATCAAAGCATTATTGTTTGTATATCTTACTCTTCAATGTCTTAATGGAGCTTGCACACACACCTATAATGACCAAGGAAGAAAAAGTTTAGGTTTTATTAGTAAATACATACATTCAATTTCCCTTTCAAATTGAAACCAAAAAAAAACAACAACTAGGAATTAATTTGGCATTCTTCCATTTTTAAGGTGCGTAATGGACTACGATCAATAATAAGAAGATATCGTGCTTCGTCCAGTGTGTCCAGTTCTAGAGTGGTCAGTTCTAGTCAGGTAACCATAACATTTGATATCTGTATATTATACATTATACTGCATGTACAACTTAACTTTGTGCACCACTGCTATAGTTTAAACATTAAAATTTATATATATTTATGTGGGAAGTGTGGTCGAGAGACTAAGTTAGCTTGAACTTGGCTTGTCTAGAGCAGAGTTGTGTTTATTGAGCGCCTAGAGGCAGCATGGAAAACCTTCTACAAGATACCCCCCCCCAACCACTGGTCCGCAGATGAGATTGGACCATAGCGCTATAAGTGCTATAAGCATGAAAGTAGCGCTATATAAAAGCTATAATTTATATATGTCACTTGAGATTCAAATGTTCATTTGTTTCTAGTCCATCAAATTATTTGTAAGAATGTTATTATATTTCCAGGAGAGAAGTTCCTCTGAGTCTCACGTAAGGAGAAAGAAACGTTCATCTGGAGGTAAGTTTTGACTTTATCAATGCAATGGAGTAGTTGGCCTTCATTTCTAGGCTTTGAGACATTAGCTTAGGATTTTAAATAGTTTGCTGTCTGAGGCAAGAGACTGGCATATTATACTTAAGTAATAATATCCTTAAGGTAATAAGTTTCTTCACATCGCAATCAGCTGTATGGGGTTAACCAGCTGTTCTACCTGAAAAAATAATTAAATTTAAAGACATAATCAAAAGAGTTCAACGATAACATAAAACTAGAAGTCTGTCAGAAATGCTGACATAACCTACACATGTATGTTTCATACTTAAGGAAGGGAGATTCAGTATAAAAATTTTTTTATATATTTCCAGAAGTCTGTATGATAAAATACAATTTTAAAAATGTGAAAATGGAAATGATCATCTTGTGATGAATCCCCAAATCTTGAACTTTTTTACAACCAATCCTAGAAAATCATTGAGAATTCTATGACATTATAGACACTAGCTATTATTACACTTAAGACTTCAATAATGTTATTTAAATGTTTGCCTGTTTTATGAATTATTTGTAAGTTGTTATAAGAAAACAAAATCAATTTTCTAAAGATTCAGTTATTGTGATTTTGTATCAGTAACACTAGAATGTGTTTAGTCATATTTTAATTATAAGCAACAAACTGTTTCTATGCTTAAATATTGTACTGAGCTTGTAAAAACTGCTGTACAAGTCTTATAAAAGATTTTTACTAGACAGTAAAATTGACTTCCATTTTCTGATAACCTAATAGTTCAAACAAAAACTAGAGTCTATTGTTCTATTATTAATTCTACTTGGTTATATTTAAATGCATAGCTGCATCTAGTGATTTTGTAATTTCCCTTTTGAGATGAAGATGCTTCTAGTATCAACCATGTTAAAGTGTTTAAAAGTTTATAGCTAAAGTCTTGACATCTCTGCTTACAGGTGATGCTCTACTGAAATCTGAATCTGAACACTTAGAACAAACAAAAATGTAGATCTAATGAACATCCTGCGGCTACACTAAACTACCACATTCATGTTCTGAGATACTTCTAAACTACCACAATCATTTTCACACGACTGAAGGATTTAATTGAGTACAATGTCATTACATTAAAGTGATTTTTTTGTATGAAATGTTTATGATGGATAGCAGAATACCTTTCTGAAATAAAGTGTGTCTCAAGTAGTAAATGTTCTATGTTTTCTTCTTTTGGTAAACTAACTTGATATATAACATGGCTCAGAAAGATAGAAAGAGTGAGAGAGAGATTGTTAATAAATAAACTTAAAAACTTTAATACCATGTTAAGTATTAGAACTTATGGAGTAGATAACAGAACATAATAAATGACACTGCCAGCAAGAGAAAGCAAAGCACTTCAAGGTTTATTTTGGATCTTCAGACATTTACGTTCAAAAAGTTCTGTTTTAAATATTTAAACTATTCAATACTACGTGACATGTAGATCAAACATTAAACCACATCCAATCCTAACACATTCCAAACATCATCTCAATCAATCATGCAAAACATGAAACATTTCACCAAAGGAAAATAATTTTATAAAATGTATCCTCATTTCCTATTTTATACAATTTAAGTTTAATTATATAACCATTAGTTAAGTTTTTGACATTATTTTGTAATAATATTCTACTTCATAATTGTTAATTCATTCTAATTTCCTATTACAAATTGCACCTCAACATGACACAGAGTCCAAAAGTTTCTAGCCATTTCTTGTGTGTGTGTGTTTGTTTTCGTACGTCCTTTTAAAACATGCACATATTATGGACACACACAATCTTAAGTCTGATTAGTAATTACCTATTTATCGACATGATCACTATGGTCCATAATGACAGATAAAAAATCCAAGTTTACGAGACAAGGTTTTAGATTACGTTATAGGTTACTGTTTCTTTTCTCTCGTATAAGTTACCAAAATTAGAAAAAGAAAATGGTTAATGGTCGAGATTCAAAATTATTTTAGTTCACAGTGTCTATAATAGACAAGAAATCTAGCCATGAAAATACTGAGAACGACAACTCTACTGATGATCATCGGGTAAACAGATGGTCATTTCCTACCTAATGGTCAAGTATTGAAATCAAATGCTTATGACCCTGTTGCTGTTGATCTGATCACTAGTCTTACAATGAGCATCCTACGTATTTCAGCAGACTTGACAGTCATCAAGTGATAGAGAGCTCCAACGTATTACACTTTTGATCAGATCCAATTTTTGTGACTTCTGCTGCATCAAATCAATTATAGGCATGGTTTTAAAAAAAAAACCTTCGTAATTAATGATAACAAACAAATTCCTTATACATATACGATGGGGCTATAAAGGCGTTAATATATCTTTGATGCAACTAAACATTAGCTGACATCACAGTAACAAAGTGAATAATTAACCTAAATATTGAGATGTTGCTGATTTATTCATACTGTTTTTGATAGATGCTGCAATAGTGACATTACAGGGCCACAACTCGCAACGAAAGATTCCCAGTTCGTTCAATTCTTCCGACCTCCTGGATGTGTCCCCTCGTTCCCGTGCTGTTTAGCAAGCTTCATCAGATGTTCCAGCTCTTCCAGGCTGAATACACTGCCTCCAGAATAGGCGTTGAAAACAAAATGCCTAAAAGAAAAAAAGGAAATTAAAACGTATTTTTTTACTTTACCTATCCCTAAGCCTCTTGGACCTTTGGGGCACCATGCAAGATTCGTCGACCGTCTTCCTCCATTCTTCTGTCTTTTGTCTTAGTTAGAACCTCTTTCTATTGAAACAGCATAAAGTGATATAGCCTCATGTCGGAAATATCTGGAAGTCTGCCTATGTAGCTCTACAATAAAACTTCTGTCGGTTCACATTTATTTCTGTTCAATCTGCCAACAAAGGGCTTTTCCCCGCACGTCTATGGGCGTAACTCTTGCAGTTCAAGTTTATCAACTTCAATGATATAATAACGATAACACAATGAAACTCATGCGATGTTTAATGCTATGTGTCGTCATAGTTTGTTTCCCAATGGGACGCATTATTCTTAAGAGTGAACTGTGTTGGGTGTTTCTCTGTCAACTATAAATATTTCAGGATGATTAAGTATCACAAAGTCATTGGGCATAACACAAATATTAAATCAGAAAACTGGATTGTCTCTCTTCTTACTACATATTGCGTTGTGTATGCATAATCAGTGCGCTAGGATCCAATCTCTTTGTCTACTATTGGAAAAGGGGCTATCTGAGGAGAATGTTACCGTGCTGCCTCTACGTGCTAAGCAACCACACTTCTGCTCGAGATAGGAACTCCAGCCCTCCTTGATAGACTGAGGTCTCTCAGTCATAAACCCAA